ATGGTGCAGTGGACCTGGTGGCCTCCTGAAACGGTCTCTGGTAATGAGGGATCACTGGGAAAGATGGTTCCCGTGATTTGCATTATGAGCAGTGTCGGAAGGAAAGCTCTCAAGAAGGTAAATTAGGAGGGTACAGCCAGGAGCTGAGTCTCCATCTGGTGTAAATCATTGTCCTCTTCAGAGAATCACAGATGTTGATGTGGAAGGAACCTCTGGGGATCTTCTAGTGCAACCCCCCTGCTCAAGCAGTGTCACCTAGAGCAGATTGCCCAGGACCCTGTCCAAATGGCTCTTGAATATCTTCAAGGATGGAGACTCCACAACCTCTCTGGGCAGTCTATTCCGGTGCTCTGTCACCCTCATAATAAAAAAGGTTTTCCTTATCTTCACATGGAATGTACGTAATCTTATCTTAGGTAATTTGGTGCTGTTGGATGAACCACGTCCACGTTTTTGGTGGACGGCTAACTTGAACACATCTGCTTCTCCCTGGCGGAGCTGGGCGTGGGCGCCTGGAGCAGCCCAATCTCCATGGTAGTCATGGGCTCCTACCTGCTCCTGGCAGTGGTGGCCCTGGCCGCAGGTGCTGGGGGGAGAGTGGGGTTCACGACCAAGTGCATGGAGGCTGGCACCACTTCCCAGGCCGGCACCACCCTGGGGCGATGCTGAAACAAGGGCCTGGCCCCACAGCTAGCAGCCAGCTGGTTGAGGGGCTGCAGCAGGACTCAACCCCAGTGAGAACTGCCCGTTGGCACCCTGCCATCTCCCTCAGCTCTCCTCCTGAGCACCCCACACAACTCCTCCGTCCACTCGGCCCTTGCACAAGCATTGTTTTGGTTTGCTTGCAGGCTCTGGAAAGCAATACTGCCGCGGTTTAAACTTGGCTGACATTTTGCAGGATATCTTTGGAGCGGAGGGAGATGCATGCTTTAGATTTCATGGTTGTGGAGTTGAGAACCGGAGCCAAGCAGCTACGTTCTAGAAGAGCCCTTATGGCTCTCGTATTAGGTTACATCTGCTGACGACCCGTAACCCAGGGCTGTCTCATCCCCCTGAACTCTGAGAAGTTTGAGTGTATCAGGAATTTCCCTGGATTAAAATGTTCTAATCCTGAAGATGTGTACAAGTGATCAGCACCCAAAATCAGAAGCTGATTTCTTGCCCGTCTGTCACATGGGTCCATTGGCACAGGTATTTCAGCCAGTGGCGTATATCCTTTTGTAGGTCCAGCTCCTTTAGGGGAAGAAGCTCCTGCCTGTCACTGCCCCACATGCCCTCCAGCGTTACAGTCCCCAGCAGCTAAGGTGACAGAAAAAGCCTGTGCCCGTGTCTCCAGCAGTTTGGTTCAGTTTGGCTTATTATTGTCCACAAAAGCAATGAACTCCAGAGGAGGGCAAGGCTGAGAGCTTGGAGCAACTTCTCAGATGCTACTGGTGCCTGGGGATCTGGCGTTGGAGTCCCTGGACTCTCTGCTTTCAGAGAATTTCAGGGGAAATGAGGGCCCCCTTTGTTTTGCAGCCCTGGACTTCCCTAAATACTGTCTGAGGGCCTTGCTGGTCAAATACATCGCCTGGGAAGTTAATGCCGAAGTGGGCACGCTCCTTTTCTGGTGATACCACTGATGCTCAATAAAAAAAAAAAATGCAGTCCAACATACCAAATTGATGGGATACGCTCCCCCTTGCAATGCTCCTCCTTCCTGCTAAGGCAGTGTCAAGCACAGGGGCAAATCGTTGCTACCCGCTGCACTCAGTACAGAAAAAAGATCCCTTGCAGCGTCTTCTCCCTGCTGACGTTACTTCGTCTCTTGTGGGTCAGGCTGGGTCTTGGCCCCAGGTAGTGTGCTGTCCAGCAAGGGGGGTTTTGCATATCTGCTGCAGTTTTCCTTCTCCTGTTTCTCTGTGTCTGGCATTACTGTTGGGTTGTATACTGCCGGGATGGGGTGGGGGAGTGGGGACCAGCAGGAGGAGAGTTTTTACCATCGTTAACAGGGCAGAAATACAGCATAGCTGTGCAAGCTGACCTGCTGCCCGCTGTGGGTACTTCACGCTTTCCTCAGCAGGGGCTCATGTGTTTGTGAAATAGTAAATAGAAGATGATCCAGAGGAGATTACGATATAAAAAATATTAACATGAAGATGAAGTCAATGCAGCAGGTAGTCTCAGGAGTGTTTACCTTTCCTCTTGCTTTCCTGCTCTGCAATGTTTCTTAGTGACAACAGGTTCTGTGGCCATAGGTGTCATACAGCACTTCCCCGGCTTATTATCCTTGGGAAAGTTTTATTCACTTTTTGTAGAAGTTTAGCTCCTAAGTAATTAAGCTGCATCTCTACCAGGGAAACAATACACTTAAGGGTCTTCCTGGGGTGCCTAGCCCAGAAGGTCCCTGATATCAAGCTCTCCTAGCCTGGCTGGTATGTCCACGCTGCCCACAGGGAGTGACCCCGTGCTGCACTCCTCAGCTGGCCCAAATGTCTACTTTACCGGTGGAGACAGAGCCTTCGGGACGTCTACGATGGGCTGGTAAAAGCAGACTCAAGGCAAAGCAGATGCCACGTAGGTGGCTCCATGGGCAGGGCTGGCCAAAGCCAGCTGCTGCAGGGAGCCCACGCGAGAGAGATGCTGAAGTGCGTATTGACAGGGTGCAGCATGTGAGTCTGGGGTGGTCATAGGCTGATTGATTGCTGCTTTTCGTTCCGTTTCAGTCCTTTTCTGTGCCAAAGCGGCTGTTTTGGGCAGAGAAAGAGGGCCAGGATGGGCATGCTAGACTCTGTATGCTCTTTCATTCTGGGGGCTGCAAAGGCTATATTTGTTTTGCATCTGTTTGGACAGAAAATATTGCTGAATTGCCAGCTTTCTTAGCCATTGTGTGACTCAATGGTAACAAGCTTGTTAGAGTAGAGATGTTAGCTTTTAAGGTAGGATTTTAAAAATGCATTCACTTTTCATTTTGTTCTGCTGCAATCAAAGACAGTGACAGGTTATTATCATTGGGAGTAGAATTAGGCCAACATGGAGAGCTTTTGAAAAACCCACTTTGAGAAAACTGTGTAGGCTCTGAAGACAGCAGTAATCATATTTATTATGTATTTATATAGCACAAAATTACCTGTATAAAAAAATATCATTCAAAGATTTGTGAGACCAAATGGGGTAAATACATCCTGTAGTTAGATCTCCTGCCTGGCATAGGGTACAGAAATAAAGGCAGTGATGCCGACAGCAAGCCTAATAGCTTGTCGTTAAGCTAGAATATTACTTTTAGAAAGTGCTTGATTGCAAGATTTCAGGTGTGGAAGAGCAGGTGGCGTTAAGCAGCTGGCTCATTTTGTAGCCATTGCAAACTGGGTTCTGTTCTTTGATAAGCTCCAATCTATTACATGACATATGAAAGAGCCCTCCACTGTCAACTCCTTCAGCATCTCTGCATTATGGCTTCTGTAATGCCTCCCCTTTTCTGACCGTTCAGCCTGGCTCCCTGTTTCCCCTCCTGTTCCTGGAGCTGACACTGTTGTGTTCATGTGGCAAGGCCAGTGAGGCATGGATCTGAGCTAGCTGAAAATGGACTGCTTTTACTTTTCCATGGGTTAGATTTTGGCTGTCTCACTTCCCTGCACTGACCTACAGCCTGGACAAGTGAGGAGCAGCGTTGGCCCAAGGTAGAGCATGGGTATGGGGGAAAGGGGCTGACGGAGGCCATGGTGTCAGGAGAGACATTTGGATCAGCCCTATTTGCCATAGGGCTGACCCTGAGATGTTAGTGTAGGGCTTGGGAGGTTCCTGCTCTGACACAAGTGTCCAGTGTGGCCAAGGTTGTGTCACTTAGGCCTGCGCGGTGCAGAAATATCTGAGTCAGCTCTATGCATGCTGGCTTTGGCAGCTAGGCCAAGGAATAGCTTAGCCTCTGCACCGTGGGGCTGCATGGCTTTGTTTACCCTGGCAAAGTTTCAGAGGTTCAGGTTGACCTCATTGGATCTCCAGGCTGCCTCTGGTACTGTGGGCAGGGTTAAGTACGTGGAGAGTGGCATGGGGTCTGGTATAGACAAGCTTTGAGCTTCTCTGCCCTGAATTATCCTTTTTACAGTAGGGATGATCTCACTTCTCTGGCTTGCAGGGCGTTGTGAAATGCAGGACAGATGTGAGGTACTCAGGTCACAACCGGATGCCAGCCTCAGGGTTATCCTCAGTCTTCAAATGTGTTCCTGCATTATTCTCCAACCACTGCAAACTTTGTGATGACTCTCTTTGATAGATTAAAGAGCCCTCCGCTGTCAGAAAGCCTAGCCCACAAATAGGTTTGCATAGACTGTGACTAGCTTGCTTCTTAACCTTCCCTGATACAAGACTGGGGCGGGTGATGGATGCCATTAGCTGTCGAGTGACATAATGAGATCTTGCACTGTAAGATGGCTTTCGTTGTTCGGTGTGATTGATCAGGGCTGTCCAGCCAGTGGTTCTGCAGCAGCCCTTCTCTTTGCTCCTTGCTAAAGCTATTCAGGGACACTGCTTCACTCCTGTCACTTCCTTTCGTCTCCTAATTCAGCCCATCAGCCTCCCTGCTCGCTCCAGGCAGAGACGAGCAGGCAGGGACTGATTTTTGAAGGGTGAGTAACACATCCTTTGTGTCTCATTAGAGTCCATGGGCTTCAACTTCTCCGTGTTGGGGTTTGTGGCGAGGTAGGGGAGAGGGAGTCTGGCAGAGTGCTGCAGTGTTAGCATGCACGTAGGTAAAAAAGCTATTTTCAGCTCAGCACTTCTTTTATCCTTTCGTGCCAAATATATACATCGCTGTCAAGAATGGGCGAGGAGAAAATTTACCTGGTTACTGCTGTGATATTTGTTATTTAGTACCGACTAGAGACCAGAATCATGACCATACAGTAATAATCCTGTTAATAAACCATATAGAAACTATGCAAACACTCTTGCTCTCTAGCTGCTTAGTGCATTTTTGAGGATGCACCGATCTAATGCCTCCCCCTGCGCTTGCTTCCCTGCAGCCGACAATGCCAACCACCTTTCCTGTCGGCGCCAGCGCAGCAGCACAGCCCCATGTCCTCACAGGCCTCCTCTGCCACCGGCCCCCTGCTCTCAGGCGCGTTGCCCCCACTTCCGGCTCCCGTCGCTGCCCAGCCCGCGCCGGGCACGCCACCGGGCCAGCAGCTGACGCCAGACGCCTTCGCCATCGTGGAGCGAGCACAGCAGATGGAGGAGAT